CTAAAAATGGAACTGAAATCATAAACCGGGACTTAATATCATAAAATATGAAGAAATCGGTTTGAACTGTTATAAATTAATCTGGCTGGATTGCCGGTCTGCTCGGACCGGTCGGTCGGCGACTGACTCGGCCAACGAGCCTGCCAAGGCCGAGTGCGCGGACGCTGCCTGGACTGGCCGTGGGCACGGACTGCTGGACGCAAACTGTACGTGACCATGAGCTGGTATGCACACTGACGGCCACTGGGCACGGCCTGCGTGACTAACGTGCATTGGTGCATCGTACACACTACGTCGGGCACTAGCGTGCATGTTGCGTGCACTGATCATGACAATCGGGTGCTTGCTGTGCACTGCCGATGGTTAACTGAATGCTGGGCTGCTGACTGGCGGGCGCTACTAGGCGTCACCCGCTGCGCTGGCTACTCGTGCAGCTCATTTGGACACTGCCGAGGCTGTTGACGCGTGATACTGCACGCTGGCGTGCGTTACCGTACGCTAGCATGCTTGACTGGGGGTTGGTGTACACAAGCGTACTGCCAACGGCTACTCATGACGCGTACAGATCTCACGCAGTACTTACCGCGTACTATCCGCACACGCACACTACTTACCGCACACTGACTGCTCACAACTCCTTCCCACATATCACTTGCACTCTCACATACTCGCCGGTGAGCTGCGCTCGTGATAAGCGGATAGCACAATTACAACCAACCCTCGTCAGTTGTCCGGCAACTTTATCCGACAACAACATCATGTTACCAGACGTTTATACCTAACATGATTATATATACTGAATAATTCTAAAAACATGATCTTTACTCGATAGGCTAGCATAGTGTCGAGGTGTGCGTACCGTACGTACAATTTCGCCATCTAGCTAACTTCCTCGAGTAAACATTAACATTCTTCTGAACATAAGACCTTTAACTGAACAAGAACTAACATGTAGGGATTGATTATATAACAATTACTCAAGAGATTTTACAACAAACATGAACATGCTTAATATAGCCACACGCATGGTCAAACGGTTTGATACCGTTCCGTGAACATGTCTGATTATTTGAAACTAACATGATCGTAAACATGACTTTGATCTGTAATAAACATGCTATTATCAACTAATCTTAATAAGGAGATTACCTCTTTATTTGCTCAAGTAATTGTGTGTGACTCTCATGATCGATTGATCCTTAGCTTGGTGTGTACGTGCGTGTAATGAAAAATGGCATAATCTATCTTACTTTTTGCTTACTGAATTTCTTAGGTAGCAGCTGAATTCATTTCCCCACTTTCCGTAAATAAAAGGCCGTAAGAAAATTAATGAAATGGGAGAGAATTCTCATAGGACCACTTGCTTGAACCGTAGCTTTTGGTGGCTTAATTTTTGCTTTATCACCATGCTAGGTGGCTGCCAATTTACTTAGTCATCACTCTCATGCACTATACAAATGCCACATAATGTTAAGCACCTAGGTGACTAAGGTAAACAAGTTGCAAATATTATATTACTTAAGCCACAAACAGTCACGGCCGTCCCCTGTACACTAAGCTTGGATTAATTTAGGCCACTAATAACACTTACTAATAAATTTACCACGGACGGTGGCTTAGGCGCATAAGTACTTGGAACGAAACTTGACTTAATATTTAATCTTAACCGAATTTAATCAATTTCGGTCGGAACTTAAATTCGACAATTAATTCGAATATCTTAACTTTGAATAGTATGTCGACATAAAATAATTTAATGTCTACATAAAATAAATTGATCCCGATTAATTATATCCGTTTATAAAAATAAACGTATCGAAAATTAATTATCGAACTAATTCGGTTAGTGAAAGTAAATTAAACCGAATAGATTTTCGACTTAAAGTCGAACTTATTTCTGAATAACTTATTATCTGGGCTCAAAACTCATCTTTGACGATTAATCAATTATTCTAAAATTTGATAAATACGTCAATACTGGATTAATTAATCCCAAATCTGCTAATGTCCATTTATTTATATAAACGGACTGAGATTAATTATTATCATTAACTTGGTTAATATATAAAATTAACCGGATACATTCTCGACTTAACATCGAACTTGAAACTTAACTTGCTGAATAACTTAAACTTGAACATTAACATGAACATTTATTAACAAAGGCTAGCTTATACTCAAAAGCTAGTATTTTCCTTTATTAATAAATTTCGGGCGTTACAATCCACCCTCCTTAAAATATTTCCGTCCTCGGAAATACTAAACTGAACGTACAAGCTTAACATGAAGCTTATACTCATCGCTTGACATGACTTGAGGATTCAGTATTAAATACTGAACATTAGACTTGATCTTAACTGAGAAATCAACAATTCACAATTAAGCGAGTTGATGATTAATACTGACTAAAACGGGACACTTTTATAAGATAAAGTGTTCCATTTACTATACTTGACATTAAAAACATAATTCTTAAACGTACTGGTCTTCATCTCCTGATTGACTGATCTTCTGTCTGAACATTGAGTGTGGAACTCTCCGTCGTAGGTACTCCCGATAAATTTCAGAGGTACGCACATGTACAAATGAGGGTAACTAGCAATCCTGGCAACTACCTTTCGTGAACATCTACTCGACACGCGGTACATCGTTCGCGGCACATTGTAATGCGGCATACCTGCTCCTCATCAAGTGAGTGCGGTGCACCTGCATACAGCACCTAGCGAACATTGTACCTGCGATGTCGATGTAGTCTGTATGGCTGATCATATCTGTATCTTGGCTAGTAACCTTAATGTACTATAATGCTAACTCTCCGTAATCTCCCGGTGTACTGTGATTCCGGACTGGCATGTATCTTTGAATGGTGAGCATCGGTTTTCATCATGGCACGATCTGTTGTTGTTGATTGGTCTTCTTCGCCGTGTCATATATCGACATGTTGTACCTGCAACTGTTTACCTTTCCTGAGGTTAACTTAACCTCAAGAAAAGTTTATCATAAACTGATCTTTTCTACGAGTTCTCAAATCATCTGTATTTGAGAATCGAGACATTGAACATACTTGATAAATCTTGTCTTATTAGACAGACTATCCTTGACTTAGCATGGCTGGCCTGAGCATTCACATAACTGAATATCCAGGACTTGGCTTTACATGACTGAATCATTCTTAATCTGAACTTTGAAAGTTATTCTGAAACAATTAAAATAATCATCTCGGAATTTGGAACATGACATTTACTGACTTATTTGACTTGATAAGATACGACTTCAAGTTTCCAGGTAAAACTGGACTAATAGTCTGTATCACAGACCTCCACTTTAACCCGGCTGAACAACTATTATACGTCGACCTTATATACATGAATATTGCCTTTAAATCGTGAACATTGACTCATGACTGTGTACTATATAGGGCTGTTCCAGTATCAACTGGTCCCGCAAGTACTGAAT